AAGGAATTATGCATAATTATTTGTCCAATAAGTAAAATAATCTCAAACTCATATTCTAATATTCATGATTGTATGTGAGAGAAAAATAAAGTACTCTAAGTACTTTTTTTGGTGGTGGGGAGGGGGGTTGTACTGATACATCTTGGCAAATGTAATTTGAATGGCCTGTCCATAATTTGTTATGTATACAAATGTTTTCAAAAGTGTTAATCCTGTGTGCTAACTTCTTACTACCTCTTACTGTTGACTAGTTGTTGAAAGGACCGATTTTGATAAACCTGTGATTGAGTCATTTTGAAGACTAACATTGCTGTTTAAAAAATGGCTTCTCGTCAACTTGTAGAACTACATTCAAATCTTGGCATTGAACATTCAGAGTTGAATGTGACAGAAAAGTAAACTACTCCATGCATTCTGGTTCTCAAAAATATCAACTTACGAGTTGTTTTCATTTTATTTTATTTTATAATTTTCTGATTCTTTGAAGAAGAAAAAAAAGTCACTCATGGTTGTGATGAATGCAAAACTGCTAATTTGAATATTCAAATCTGGAAGTTCCCTGGTAAACCTGCTAAGTATTATTTTTAGTGCGAAATAAACAATGCCATAAAAGGAAGTTTAATCTTCTTTTATTTTAGCTCCAAAGTTACAGCTATACTGTTTCATTTCCTGCACACTACTTACTCGGTTGTTTGGAAAAAAAGATACCTGGAGCAATATATATAAATGTTTATAAGTGGATACAATTTATACAACTTTTAGCTCATGCCTACCTCAAAAAAAAAAGTTACTGGTCTCTGTTATCATCCGGCATGTCAGCTTTCATCTGCTTTGTTACTAGGATGATTGAGTGTTAGAAGTTATTATTTGAAAAAAACACAATTGGTAAATTTTTCAGTTCAACTGATAAATATTTATTGAACCACAGTGACTGTGGTTGGACCAATCACTGGTACATGGTGCATCATGTATATTGATGGTTTGCAGATTCATGATGTGCATGTGCTCAGTACAGACTTGAGAGATGTGCGCACTGATGGCCCTCATCCCTCTATTTTATTTGTTATAATACTGTAAAATACTTTATTTTCGCTTAGAATTAATTTTCGCTATTTTCACTGATCGAATGATTCAGTGAAAATAAAATCCAGCTATTATACCTTTTTTCCTATATTTTACTTTCAACTTGACAGAAATCAGTGAAAATAAATTCCATACAAAACACCCAAAAAGTTTTTCATCGAAAATTAATTTCACAGTAGTTTGTTTTATGTATACTGTAGAATACTTTATACTGATGGCCCTCATCCCTCTATTTTATTTGTTATAATACTGTAAAATACTTTATTTTCGCTTAGAATTTATTTTTGCTATTTTCGCTGAAGGGATGATTCCGTGAAAATAAAATCCAGCGAATATACTTTTTTTCCTATATTTCACATTAAACTCATCAAAAATCAGTGAAAATAAACTCCATACAAAACGCCCAAAAATCCTTTTTAGCGAAAATTAATTCCAGCGAAAATAAAGTATTCCACAGTACATGAAATCTTCATGGTTATAACTAAGCTAAACAATTCTGTATTGATCTTGTTTTAATCATGATTATAAAAGAGATTACATAGAAGTTCATGGACACATGGATGTACTAAGAATCCATGATGGACATAAGATCCACATAGATATAATGTCATGTGTACAAGTTGTGCGAGGAAATCGAAGGTCGAAAAAAAAATCCTAAATAATAAATTGCACTAGTCTCTTACTGTAATTTTTTAGACCCCAGTGTTCACCCCAGTTAAGGTAGCGGGACTGTTATTTGCATACATGTTTTCATCTTCAAATTGTGACCAAATGACTACAAATAGACCCAGGAAAGTATACATTTTTGGAATCGCCAGACTTCAAGCTGTTCAAAGGTGTGTTTGTGCCATGCCCGTATCATTCCTGTGTTACTAGTACTTACTTAATCAAAAGTGAAAAATAACTTTTTTTGTAAAAAAAATAATTCAGCATTTATGCTGGTGATAAGAATTTTTTTTTTCACTTTTCCTAGTTGTTCAATAGTCTAGTAAATTGAATGTGTCTGGTCAGTTTTATTCAAGCAACGCGTTTTGAAAAATGTCCTGAATTTGAATTTCTGTTTTAGTCGCATTGCCCCCAACTCAAACCACAACACATTGGTAAATAATCCATGAAATATTTTGTCTGGACACATTCAAGTTCCTCTCATTGTCACCTTAAAGCTGTGAAAATTTGGTGTTAAACCGACGACAATAAGTATACGTTATTTTTTGTTAAAGACCTTGTATTTTGAAAAACATAAACTCCTAGAAAACGACCATGAAGTAACAGCAAAGATTTTCAAGCTTGTTTATCGGCATAATCGATTTATTTTCCCATCAAGGTCTGTTCTAACATGTGCAGGGGCATCCAAATGTGTAAGGCTATTGGAAACCAAAAAAATAAAGGAATGGGATAGCTATAATTCGATAAAATCGGCAGATGAAAACAACAAAATCAATGATTTTTTTCAGTGGCTGTGTGTGTCTGACACATTCATATGCAAATGACTAATCTGTGAAATAAACAGGGCCAGAGACAAACCACTCAAATGTTTGGAAACACTCATTGTGTGTCAGATAGCTACTGATAACACATCCTAACATTGCTTTGTCTTGAGTTAATCTTTGAAACTTATAGGCACACAGATTAAACCTGTGTTGTTGATTTTGGAAAACACTACTGAAGCTGCCTTGCTTCCCTTCAGAAAATCTACATTTTAACTAACTTACATTCTAGGTTACGTTGACTTTATCAGATGAAAGTGTATAGTGCATTTCATCAATTAATAATTAAATGTGAAAATCGTAATTTTCAACACAAATAATAGTCTCGCTACGTAAATTTGCATAACAGTTAATTTGCATAAATAATAATATCTAATATGCATATATTACACTATTGTTTCTCAAAAGTTCAGTCATGGCATATCACATATTACTTTTACTAATATCTGACTTGTAACCATTTTCATCCCCTCCTGGGGATGTTGTGTGTTAATAAATAAATAAACTGTGGTCAAGTACAGTGTATGATATTCAACCTAGATATAGTAATTAAGGGAAGGTCGCCAACAAATTTTGAGCTTGTGGAAGGAATATATATATATATATATTGATTAAAGATACTATTGTATATAATGTTCACTTGTGAACGTTTTGCCATTATATTCATAGCTATTCATTTCGGTATGCCATTCCTAACATGACAATCAATGTGAGCATATCTATTGATATTGTTCTTGAGAAAAAATGAACTGATGATGAGACTCTGTGCTACTTCCTGTTATTCTGCAATCTACCCTTTCTGAATTTGCTTTATGGTAGTATAACCATAGAATTAACATGTATGATTTTGACTGGTTGCTTGTGGTGCTGGTAAAAAAAAAAAAAATCGGCCTTGGTTTGGACCTTCCGGCCCCACGTGTAATGTTAATATATTGAATATACAATGAATGCATGACAAATGTATCTTATTCACAACTTATTTTTCGTCTTTTGCATGACATTTTTCATGATTTACTGTAGAATACTTTATTTTCGCTTGGAATTAATTTTCGCTGAAAATAAAATCCAGCGAATATACATTTTTCCTATATTTTACATTCAACTCATCAAAAATCAGTGTAAATAAATTCCATACAAAACACCCAAAAAGTCTTTTCAGCGAAAATTAATTCCAGCTAAAATAAATTATTTTACAGTAACACCGTATTTGACACAATGCAATAGATGTCTAGAGTTCTCCCAACTTAGAATATGATTTGTTTTAAACAGAAACTCATCGACAGTGCAAAACTAGACTAACAAAAGTCTGGACTTCTTTTTTGTTTTTAACTTGATCATAAAAGCCCTGTAAGACGTATATGGACCCGAGAACGAGTTAAAAATTGGTTGGCACAAATAATCTTTTTTGGCCACAACGATTGTTGTGCTTTAAAAATCTACCCACACAAGTCTCCACTTTTTACATGTTTTCTTTGTCATTCTCTGATTGTCAATATCTACTAATTGGACTCTGCTCCTTTCATGTGCAATGCTGTCCTTGGTCTTCCTTCAATATAACAATCAATTTTTTTTTTTTTTTTTTTTGTGAAAAAGTTTTCAATACAGTGTAACAATGAACCTAATTTGCATACTGTAAAACACCTTTAAATAGCCACATACCATTTTAGTGAATTTGACTCAATGCACGAGTAACTGAATCTTAAAGCGCGGTAGTCGCCGCATTGATTTTCCCACAATTCAATGTGCTCTTAAAATGGTAATCACAAGTATGAGGTTTGACCTGTGCGCGACTTGCATTGATTACCGCCGGTGACTCCTTCGATACCTTCCTATAACATAAAAATTACTTAATTAAAACTTGGAAACGTCTCAGTTCTTACTCGTTGATCTGCGCAACAGTCAAATAAGCCATCTTTGTTTATATGAGACCCATACCGCACTTTAATTTATCTAAA